GATGTCAGATTGTGTCCTGTCAATTTGTAGGGTGTGGTTTCAGTGTTTATCATTTTGTAGGGATCATATCTCAGGATGCTGTTGAAGACTCGAGTGGCATGCGTCAGGGTTCCAAGGCTGCTCAAGCCACTTCTTTGCCAACAGGAGCTGCGCCGTCCGATGATCCGCCTGGGAAAGAATTTGATGCAGACCCAGAGCTTGCTCAAAGAATTGCAACCGTGGCTTCTTTAGAAGCACCTTTTTAAGGTCGCCTATTTAAACAAAAAACATTATTCGCCAATACGATGTCATTAGTGGTACTTTGTTCATTTTGTAGTGCATTGACATGGCATAGTTATTTTTGTAGACATTGTTCTTTACTTTCGTCGGGTGACTGTGGCAGGTACAGCGAGCTGCACTTGTTGCAAAGAGTGGTACCTACTTGGCTTTGATGGATCTATTCCTCTACCTTGCCCAGAAAGGCAAAGATCTTGCTGTTTGCGTTTTCGACAAGGATGACACAAATATTGTTAGCTTTCGATCGGTGATCAGAGATTTATTGCCGGAGGAAGTAGTTGACTGGGAGGACTGCTTGGATGAGGAAATCGATTTGTCAAGTGAGCATACTGCTGTGGTTGTACCTTGCCAAGCCAACTTTGAGCGGGGGGACTTTCTGGATCTCAACCACTTCGTTCCGGTTTGGACCAGACAACAGCTTGGTGATAGTGATTTCCACCTTGCAGAACAGAGATCTCGACAGGCTTTTGCAAGACGTCAAAAAGACCACGCTGAGCGGGTGCACGAGGTTTGCTTTGATGAGGAGCATCCTGAAGACCATGCGATGTTGATGAAGTCACTGCAAAAAGAGTCAGAGCTGCTGGAGGCTGAAGCAGAATTCCTGCAAGCCATGAAGTCGCTGGATTTGGTCGCCTATCCTGTCCCCAGTGACGGGAATTGTGGTCCGTGGACTTTGGCATCGCTGTGTCGCCCAAAGCCTCCACTTGTCTCAGGGGAGGACATCAAGCAGTACGAGCTCGAGCCACGCAAGATCCGGAGGAGAATCCGCAAGCTGTGGACGGAGTTGTCAATGGATTTCACATGGCAGATCATGTTCAACATGTTTGATTTGGATGAGGACTTGCCGATTCCAGGAGCCGACCAACTGAACTCAGTTGTGAAGCGTGAGCCAGCAACGCCTCCCAAAAAGAAACAGACTGAGCCAAGGCTGGAAGTTCCCCCTTTGGCAACTCCTCCCAAGGCAGTGGCAGCATGTCGCCGTGCAGAGTTTGGTCAGCCACTGAAGAAAGATGGCCGGCTTCTTGCAGCAGGTTCTCGCGCAGCCAAGCTGCATCGCGAAGGAGACGTGCCTGTGCCAGTTGCAGATGAGCAGGACAGTGACAAAGAAGATGAGGAGGATACGGGAGCCCCCCGCATCGCGCGCAGGCGACACAAGCGCAGCTGCCGGACATTACAGCGGAGCAGCCAAGTGCTGAAGCGGATGGCCGCCAAAGCTTACTTCTCCGAAATCGGTTTCACATGGCCAGCTTTCCAATCTGTCCACGCCAGGCCTGTCCGGGTTAGATCACTACAAAAAGTAAAACCCATACTATATAAAGTGTTGTTTTTAGCATTTTATAGAGACTGATGTCTTGCAGATCATTTTGTAGCAGCTAAGCGTTTATAAAACGAAATACGTCACCTGAATGTATCAAGTAAGGGGGATGATCATACTAGATCCATCTTTATCCTTCAAGCATACAAATAGCCTTAGACAATGTATGATAATGCTGCACTTTGTAGTGAAGACACTTATGAGCATGCATTTTGTAGAGTGTATGCATTCAGTCAGGATGGCACCATGCAAGAAGGCATACACTTGCCCAAACGGTGGCTACCTCAAAGTGCAGGCTCGGTTGCTGGATGTTGGTGCACATGGGGACGGGTGCAAAGCTTGCGACGAAATGATTCTGAATTCTGGCTTCGACCGGACGAAGTTCGACGCTGTATTGCAAGCGGCAGAAAATGGAGAGCTTCCTCAGCCCATCCAGGGTGCCACCGAGCCTATCCAGGGTGTCACTGAGACCGCCAATGAGGATGAGCAGAAGGCTGTGAAGGAAGAGGATCTTGAGACTGAGAAGCCCGAGGGTCTCGTCGAGAATGGCGACCCCTTCGACATTGTCAGGCAGACCCCGTACATCAAGCTCCTTCCACCCGGTAGCCACGGCAAGCGTTTTCCATACCTATGTACGGTTTGCTGCACAAGATCTTGGCCACAGGGAAGAGTTGGAGAGCTGGCTGAAGCCAAGATTGGCTCAATCAAGCACTTTCTTCATCAGCACATCGACTCCAACACACACAAGCGGAATGTCAAACGCAAAGAGACGGGAGGACAGGAGATTGTTGCCCCACCAACGCAAGAGTGTCAAGGAGTGAGTCTAGACGACGCTCGAAGTGCCCGTCACCTGCACTACATGCAGGGCGAGTTTGACCTTTGGTGCAGCATGGCCAACTTGAAGGACACAGCCAGACACAAATATTAGAAGAACGCCAATACAGGCGTTTGGAATTTGCGCGCTGCAAATTGTGAAGACAGCAGTGTGGCTGGTCCAGTTTGCCCGAAATGCCTGCAATTGGGGCAGGCCCACGGGGTGACTCGCTCTGTTATGAGGTTCATGAAGAAGTATTTGCTAGCCAAGCTGCTGAGTGCTAGACTTTTTGGAGGGCGTCCAGCAGTGGAAGAGGTCATGGCTGAAATCAAGGGCTCCTATGTGTATGAGACTGACTCCAAGAACTATGACACTTTGATGAAGCTCGACAACACGAAGTTGCAGCAGGTAGTCAGGCTTGGATGGTGTTCGTCCTCCTTGGATCCCTCTGAAAGCTGTGATTCTTTTGTAGCTGCTGTAGTGAAACCAGCTCTTCGGGTCAACTGCTTTGGCGTCTCGGATGGGCTTGCAGATGTGATTGGTCGCTGTACAGCGTTGATTTGTTCAGGCCAAGCACCAGAATCAGACATTGCAAGCTTAAAGCTTGCAGCAGCTGCGATGCGAGGAAGGCTTCAGGAGCACCCATTGCTCCAAGGCCTTGCGCTGCAAACTTTCAGACTTCTGGACAAACAACAAAGAGGAATCACGACGATGGCTGGCCGTCGAAGCAACGAGACGGAGACAGAGTCTGCCCTTATTCGGGATGCAGGTCAGACCTTGGCCATTGCTTGTTGCAACCCTGGTTTGGCGAGGCAATTCGGAGTCAGCTTGGCCTCCGCCTCCACGTGCCTAGACCAGTTGCTGTCCAATAGCATCCCAGCTCCAGCGCTGGCACTTCTTTGGCCAAAGATCCTCGAAGAGAACTTTCTCCTGGTCGACCAGAGGTACCCTCGCGTGAAGCCAAATGCAAAGTGCTACCCGGCTTATGTCATTATGCGCACTGTGTGGATCCATCATGATCAATCATTTTGTAGTGCACCAATGTGTAAACCATTCATTTTGTAGTGCGTACAATTTGTGAAACGGCAATTTTGTAGTGAATTATATACATACATGCATGTACAAATATTGGCTTGTTACATGGATATATTAGAGACCAGGGAGGGTTATTAGTTTGCATTTTGTAGGGCGTATGGAGATTGGCTGCACCATTTTGTAGCATCGTATTTCCTGAGGCAGAATGATGTTTGCCTTCGATGGGACGTATTTGGAGCCTCGCCTCAGCCAGATAGCTTTGCATTCGAAGCGGGGCCTGGTTGGAGGAATGTGGAAGACTGGTGCTGAAGCAACCTGCTTTCTGGATCTTGAGGACGATGGCATAGACATCGCAGGGGTCCCAAAGTCTAGCAATATGCTGGAATGCTTAGTTTGGGACCCCTCAGCAAGGCAAAAGAATTGTCAGTATGTTCACTTCCCGTTGAACACAACTTTCGATCAGTTCAAGGAACCTTCAGGTCTAACTGGTACGTATTGGACACGATCGGCCACATCCTTGACAAGGCGAACGGCACCGTGCGTGGCATCATCTTCGACGCCCACGTATCACATCAACATCTCCGCAGGGTGCTCCACGGCCAACTGGAAGAGGTCGACAAAGGCGAATTGCAAAGTGTACCGTTTTTTTCGAGTCTCACCTACTTGGATTTGCCGCCAAACCCCTTGCCCAGATTGCCCATCCGGTTAGCAACTATGCCTGACGGGGAGGTTGTGTGGGGGCTTCCAGGAGTTTGTGTCTTGGTGATGAGCGCACTTTTTGTTTGAGTTGGTTCATTCTAATGCGCTGGGCCTTAAGTGTCACTGGAAAAGAGCATGACAAGAACATGTTGTAGTGAAATGTTTGTTGGTATAGTCATTTTGTAGTAATCTATTTTTTCAGCAGTGCAAATAGATTCCAGACACGGGCTGTTTGAATACTCAACTGGGGTCTACTGGCCCCCACATGCCCCCCGTAGCCGAGTCATTTTCTAGACTTAGGGACGGAGTCCACTGATTTTGTAGTGCCCAAGTCCCAGTATGTTTTACATCGTTTTACTACAAAATACATTGGCCAACAACTCATTGGCCTACAACTGTGTTGTTTGTTTTCAGCTATCTGCCCTGTGACTTGTCAAGGTCACGCAAACAAGGCCAGTGGCGGCCAATTGTGCTCCTGTTTGCGAACCATCATGTTTGGCGACCTGTGGTGCGACACCACCGGCCTTCGTTCCAACGGACTTCCACCGCAAGCGTACAGCCGGGATATGCCGATGAGTGACAAGATGCAAAGCATGCTGATGAACCCGTTCTACCTTCCGGATTCCGTTGAACTGTGGCTTCAGTCCAGTAGCTTTAAACATATTGGTTTTGGATTCTACAAACTGCATGTGCAACGGTGGACACTGATAGTTTGCTTTTGTGACATGTGTCCATAATTCCACTACAAAATGACAGTTTTAGTATGTTTTAGTATACTTTAGTGATATTGATCTACAGTAAACTGTGCTCTGAGGATGGAGACTTGGCCTCTTTGCCTATTCCATGGAGCTTGCTTGGGACAACCGTTTTCAACACGGTCACTGCCCTGTGCCTCGCACCCATTGCACATCGAGAACTCAAAATGGCTGAGAGGGCTGAGATTGCTCTCAGTGGATTCCTGGCGATGGACCTCTTTAAACTAGTCAGTGACAAGAAGTGTCGAGAGATGCAGTTGCCTGCTGGCAGCTGTTGGTTTGCAGGACAGACCATGCAAAACCTTCAGAGCGTTGCGCTATCAGCTGTTGCTCTCACACTATCCAAGCCAGAGTGGATGAATGTCTTCGAGCATGGAACTTTGCGGCTTTCGGAAGTTTCAATTGAACAACATTTTGGGCATCTCCGCTCGCAAGCAAAGAACGCACTACTCACAGCCAGGTCCTACTTTGTGGCCAACGCCAGACAGAGTATGAGGACGAGTGATCGCATGAACAAAATGAAGCCGCCAAAGCCACCAAAGGCCGAGCTTGTGGAAGATCCTTTGAGTGATGAACAGCCGCTCAGCTATTAATAACCACTGGCAGTCTCATTTTGTAGTGAATGATTTTTTAATATTTAATTTTGTAGTGCTTTTTAAATACTTTATGCTTATTATATTCCATGATGGGCAACTGTTTTGTGGGCACCCTTGGATTGTCATTTTGTAGTTAGATATTTGCAAGATGAATGGTTGCGTCATGCTGGGATTGTTCTTGTGAGGTTTCGGATCTGCTGTGAGCATGCTCTCTCATCGACCCTGGCATTGGTATCAAAGTGCAGTGGCTTCAAAGAGGCAGAGCTCGAGAAAGCTTATCGGAGCAGTTGCGAGGAGGGAGGTTTCAAGCTCAGGTCTGACCTGAAACCCCCGGAAGAGGAGGATGAGGAGGCAGGAGATGAGCAAGCTGAGCCAGAGGATGAATGTTTCAGATTCATCCAGGGACTGCGTCAGGAGTCTGCCATCTTGAGTGAAGAGAGTCAGCCAGCGGTAGACTTAGACATGGATTCCGAATGCGCAGTACCGGATGAATTGAAAGGTATGCCTGATCAGGAGCAGATGGAGAATTTGCTCGACAAGCCAAGCGTGATGGACCCCTTCAGGACAGAGCAAAGCGTGTCGCCAAGGCATCGGGTTCGTGGCAAAGAGGAGCTGCCTACTACGCTGACCGATGCAATGTCCATGAAAGGTTGCATGTTCAACGCCCTCTTCCGGTTGAGTGTCCGTCTTCGTAGCAGCAGAGGAGGTCTGGACACCGGATTCATAGCCAATGCGCGCAACGCGCGCAAAGCATCAAGATCTCTCAACTGGCATCAGCGCCCAGGAAATAACAAAGATATGCAAAGATGTTGCTTTCATTTTGTAGAGTTTGTTCACATGCTCCTGCAATTTGTAGAGGTGCATTCTGTGAATCCACCTGGTGTTTCTTTATTGATGGGTATTAGAATACTAATGAACTTACATTTTGTAGGGACTGGATACTAAATGATTCACAGGCATCGATCAAACATTTGTTTTGGCTGAATCAGGTATAATGAAAGGAAAATCGCAGAGATTCTGGCAGAACGAGATGAGCCTTTGTACAGAAGCCGCACTGGGCGACTTGACAAGTGGAAGGAGATGATGCGGAAAGCTCAGGAAGAACTTCAGTTGCCAGTCGGTGCACCAGAGAGCTTGGCGTGCCTTGCTTGAACATTTTGCAGGTTAGTTTTCAATGAGGTTTTTTTGGAAGAACCTGATGCAGTGGCATTTGACATTTGTAGGGACATTGCATGCTTGTTTGCATTTTGTAGGGATGTGTGGATTTCTCAGACCATCGCAAGGCCTGGAAACATTGTGATGTTCCATACTCCAGCGAAGAAGTCAAGCGTGGAACTTGGACTTGTCACGAGTGTATGGAAAGGAGTGAAGGCCCCAAAGCTGCACAGTGCACCGACACCTATCAACAATGCTGTTGCTTTTCGAGCCTTGCAGCTGACCGCTCAAAGTCCAGATGAGGCGGGGGCTTTTACATAGGTTTGGTAGTCATAGGCTAATTTTGTGGAGAAGAGCCTATAGAATACTTTTGAATGCTTTTGACGCTACAGAATGACCGTTGTTGCCAGGAAGAACCAATTGAGTGGTGCTGCAAGTTCAACTCCACTGCGTGGGTGGCCAGGAGAGTCATCGGTCATGCCAGATACGGTAAATTCTGTTTGTAGAGGCAGATGTGAGGACGGTTCATTTTGTAATGGACATTTTCGGGCTTTTGAGATGCTGGTTTCCTTGGTAGTTACAATTTGTAGTGGATGGAGAGCAAAGGACAGAGAGCTTGATTTCTATTCTCGACTGCGAATATTGTGCCTTGGCTCCATTCTCACCCTGTATATCGCATTATTCCTTTCCTTCCTTGCTATTTTTTCTTGTTTGTGTCTATTTTTGTTCTTTGCATTCGGTGTTGTGTCTAAATATATATATATATAAACATATATAAACTTATATTCTTTGCAGGCGGGTATCCACTGAACAACATGGGCAATGTACGCTTGAAGATCAGCCCGGAGAGTGCAAGAGCGGTCAAGCTGATCCCAAAGATTGAGAGCTGGAACATCCCCCCAACCATGACACGTGGTTCTGGTCGTGCAGCCGGAGCAGTAGGTGGCGGGACTGGGGCAGGGGACCAGGCCAAAGCAAAGGCTACCAAAACCAAGAAGTTCGTCCGTCGCGGAAGGAAGAAGAACAAGAAAGCTCATGGCAAGTCCAAAGAGTCCGACTCCAAGCCGTCGCAGTCTGAGAAAGCATCCACCGGCAAGATTGGTTTGAAAAGGAAGGTGAAGGATTTGGTTCAGCAGAAGAAGGGGGAGTGTTTGATGGTTGACATCCCCACGTCCAAGGACTATCGCAGAACCAAGAAAGGTTTTCAGGTGATGCGGCATGTCATTACGGAGCTGTACGAGCCAGACAAGAAGGCTTTTCCAATGTCACCAGCCTTTGATGACAAGGGCTTTTGCCGCCTCCGGAATGAAGCTTGTCAGAACACCACGTGGGAGCAGATTCGTTCGGTTACACCGGACGCATTGGATGCTTTGCACCTGGTCCTATCATGTTGTAGTGTGATGAATATATATTTGTATATATTTGTTTATGGTTCTGTCATTTTGTAGAGACCGACCTTGTTGTTGAATCATTTTGTAGTGTTAGTGTGCTGCATATATATATATATATATTTGTTTGTTTATGGATCTGTCATTTTGCAGAGACACACCTTGTTGATTCATTTTGTAGTGTGTTGTATTTAGGGTGAGAGTGTCATGGGCCTATCCCTGGCAATTTGTAGGGCACCTACCTGGGAATATATATATATATGAATATATCATTTTGTAGTTTTAGGGATGTACAGGGGTAGTCTTGCAAGGTACAAGCAAATGCAATCTCCTGATTCCTTTGGTCGTGCCGTTGCCAAGCAGATGGATACCATCCGGGCGCAGCTCCAACGAGAGACTCCTGTTCGGCAAGGATTCTTGAAGCTTGTGAAGGACATCGCGGAGTATTTCATTGCCATTGAGAAGTCGGGCAAGAAGCAGTGAGCGAAGAAGATGTTGGCGCCACTGAGAGAATCGCAAAGAATTGCTCGGGGCAGTTTGATTCCAATGGAATCACCCTGGGGTGCCCAGGAGCGGTGAAGAAGGGCTTGTGGATATGTCGGATATATGTATTCGAAATTTGTTATGTGTGATACTTTTCATAGCTTTTCAATGTTTTTCATCTTATTTTATCTTTGTTTCTTTCTATTATGTTTCCTACAATGAAGCTGATTGTGAGTATTAGCTTCCATAGTGTAGAATAGTATTTTCTAAAGAGTTGCAAGTTCTTCAAGATTTGCCAAGCAGCCCAAAAAGGGCGCCAGATCGACGAATAGAGTCGACGACCATTAGAACAAACGCAGAGCATCAGATAGCAAGGGAGAAAAATGGCGTGGATGTGACAGTGGACAGAAGCATTTTGTAGTGGACAGATGTTCACTGTCTTAAAAAAACAGATTGGCTGGGTTTGCCAATTTGTAGTCAGCAGTGCTGCTGGTCTGTCATTGGCCTTGCTTGACTGGCAGGTTGATTTTGTAGTGTGTTTATTCTAACTGTTTGATGGTTGTTGCACTTAATGCGGGTCATTGTGGCTGGAACGTTTTGTAGCACTGGAACTTGTGGACCTGCATTTTGTAAGGAGGCTTATACCTAGGCGTTGTCATTTTGTAGAGTTTCAGGGTGAGCTGCACTACAAACTGAGCGTACCCAACGTCAAGGGGAAATTCTAACGGGGATCCCCCACCCATTTGGGGAGGAGTATGGACCTTCCTGACCAAAAGGATGTAGACGGATGACTCATTTAGCGAGCCCGGCCACGTCGGATCTATTGACGAGGTCCGAGGGACCAATCAGATGCGAAGCGAGCACTCAGAAGCAAGAGAACCCCAAAGGATCCGACAGGGGTAATCACATGATACATCGTCACAATGATCATGATGCCAAAACACTGGATTCATTTGGACACACCCTAGAAAGAAGATGAAAGAAGTCACAGTCCCCTGTAAACCGTGATAACCCCCCGAGCTCCTGGCGTCTCTCGCTCCGCAGGTGTCGACTCGGTGGAGGTGACCCTGGGGGCGGTGACCATCTTCGAGTGCCGCGTGCCTTCGCCGGCCGCCAAGGGAATTCGGATGAATTCGGGGGCTGGGAGGGTTCCTGTGAATTCGCAGCAGACGGAGGAAACGCGCGAGAATTCGGACAATAGCGGCTTCCGTCTGCGACGGTTCCATGGTCACTGGATGCGATACATAGTCATCATGTCTTCAGATCCGCTGCACGGCCATTTGTTGGAGCGTGAGGTGGGCAGTTTCGCTTGCTGTTGGAGCGTGTGGCCTGTGGGGCATTGATGAGCATTGCCTAGTTCATTAGCATCCACTAGCTGAAAAGGAGTTTGTTTCTAAAGAAGCTAATAATGATCTTACCCCATCATCAGTCACGTGGAGTAAGTACCCCCCCAAGCAGGATGGTTTCTTCATAGAACCTTCCTTTGAGAGCATGGGGGCCCCCACCTCATGTTGATAGCTGTCACCAGCATGGGGGTTAGAACAACTTGGAGCTCAGGACCGCTACTCGCCGCCGGCGCCCGACTACGTGGCCTGCCGGGAGGTTGGCCCAGTGCCGCCGTTCCCCTGCGAAACGGTGGGCTGCACGGCTGAAACTTGGAAAGCAAGAGTCTTCCAAAGATTGAAGAACCCGACTGTTCGACTATCCCATAGGTACCCAGTAGTTCTGGTCCTTTTTCAGGTCACTGGTTGGGCTCAAGAGCATCAGACAATTCCACAGGATTTGACTCCATTGAGGCAACTTGACTCGGATCCTGAAGAGTAACAGCCTCCAGATCGCGCCCGACAGTGTCGAAACCCAACCACCTACAATCACCTACCCAGGAAAAGTGGATCAATGATGATCAATGTGGATCACCTGCAGGTGATACCAATTCTATCCAATTCTTCCATTTTTTGAGGTTCACCATCTACAATCACCATCACCTTGTGGTTCACCATGTCTTTTGTTGGGGAATGGTCCCACTCAAAAGCCCCATGTCTTCGTTTTTTTCACGCGGAACTCACGCGGGTTCCGCGTCGTTCTCGGTGACCGGACCTCGAAGGACCCGAGAGTCGTGGGAGCTGGAGGGTCTTCTGCGGTGGGCTGGTGGTTTTCATCACCTGAGGATGGCAGGTTTTCTTGACCTACCAAACAGAGGTTAAGTGACCTGAACTAGGACCCTACCAGGGTACCGAACTGGGATAGCCGAACTAGGGTTCTTCAACCTCTGTTGGTAGTCTCCCTGAAACTCACATGGTGACGTGAAGTTCACCCCCCGTGTTGGTGGAGGATTTCATGGTTCAAGTGGCCATGACATCCGCTTCCATGTTTCCTTCCGGGGAGTGTATGTGAGTTCTAAGGTGTTCCAAGATTTTCCACTTTGGCTCGCTGCTAGCTGGGCCTGTTGCATTTTGACCATTCATCAGCTGCAAGGCTCACCTGAGATCTCAGGCTCTGTGTCGTTTCCGCAGCCACTTAGGCTTGAGATTTTGGGCGATCAGCATCTCACTGCGCACCTTTGTGATGGCAAAACAACTTTTCATCACAACGCTTGCCGTCACAGCAAACACCTGAGGCGGTCCCTTGGTCGCCGTCCCACGGTCACCCGGTCACCACCCGGTCACCACACGGTAGAGAGACCCACGGTCCACCGGTCAGAGCCCGTTCCGTTCCGAAGCGATTCCGGTGTTCCGGAGACCGGAGAGGCGGTCGAGACCGGAGACCTGAGACCCGGAGACCTGAGACCTGAGACTCCATTTTTGGGCCATGGCCTTTGGACCGAAGGCCGGCTTTATCCTGAGCCTGGGCGATGGAAGGGGGACATGGGGGAGGACGACTGTTCGTGGCGGCATGGGTGGTGGCGCCGTCGAAAAGCGGCTTGATGCCTTTTTGGGTTTTGGTGTCCCGATTTGCAGGCTGTTGATGACCCCCCCCAAATATACAGGATATTACGAAGAGGTTTTTCGACTCAATCCAAATGGGGGTTTTACTAACCAAGAGTCTACATGGTCGTGAAATCACCTTCCTCCGCATGTTTCGGATGCTTCGTCCTTGCTGGTTTATACAGGAGCAGAGGATTTTCTATTATGAATTGGTGCTGCTCCTGCTGTTTGGGGTCTGTATTATCCTAGATTCCTAGATGATCTATGATTGTCTATGGATACTTTGTGGCTGCTATGGTGTTTGCCACCAGAATCCAAGAACCACCACTTTGAAGTTTTATTTTTGGGGGAGAGACACTTGGACTGGACTGGATCCATTTGCTTCTGTGAGCGTTTATATGTCTATATATATATAAATCATATATAATATACATACAGTCGATTTGCTTTAGTTGGGGAGAGACCCTCCCACCAAGCAGAACTGTCTCTTGTGGCTCTTGTGGCTCTTGCCTTATTTCAGGGAACCAACCTCAGCGTTGACCCGAATTTGGAGCCCCTCTTACGTCCGCTCGCGGGGGGGTGGTCGCCGGGCCGACGCCCTGTCGTGTTCTTCCCGTGCGCGCGAAACAGAAAAGGTGCCTGGTGCTGATCACGGTGTGGCTGAGCTATTCGCTGAATGGCCTCATCGAAAGGTGGAACCCCAGCCCGCGGCTGACCTGGGGCTTGGTCTCCCGAGGAGATCTGGCAGTCATCAAAAACCGATGAGGTCCGGGAGATTGGAAAACCTGTTCTGGCATGGGCAACAGCATCAGAGAAGCCGCCCACGAGGCTTGTTCCGGGAAAACTCATGAAAAAGGCCCTGGACAATGTAGGTTTGATATATATAATTATATATATATATAGATAGATATATATATATATGTATAGTTTGATGGTTCCATGTGATCAACACAGGGGACCGGCACGGCACTACACCCTGGAAGACTAACATGGACTCTGAAAACCATTGGTTGGTAGAGGAAAACACCCTTCCAGGGGGCCATTGTTAGGGTCTATGTTAGTTTTCGGGAGTGTAGGTATATCTAATGTTTCCAAGATTCATCCAAGCAACTAAACACACTCTTCGCGTGTCTTTACACTTTTCGATCACTTTGGTCCGGCAGCCACAATTTTGGGAATCAGATCCAGCCAGACAACATCGTCACTCCGGTTGTCGGGTCGGAATAGGACACACCGTTATACTGTGATATGCCCAAGAATCCGAGTGATTTTCAATGCATAAACATGCTTGTCGATTGGGTCCCCGTTCCCATCTCTTCAGGGATCTTCTCCCTATATAACCCCGCTGGACCAGCTTCGGCCGACTTCTTCTCGAAGCTCCTACGGCTCGGGCACTCTTTCTTCGCCCCGTGTGCCCCGTGTGTCCCGCGCCGACCTCGACACACCCCTTCCGACCTCGCACCTCTCACCATTCCTCCACACCGGGGCGCCGGTGAGGATTTGGCTTGGTCTACATCATCGTCTTGGGCTCCTTCCACCCGCAGGTGGTGCCCCTCTGTGGGCGCCGCGGGGTGACGCCCGTGGCCCAGCTGCTGCAGCAAGCGCAGAAGGAGCCGAGCGCTCGACGACAGGTCGAAGATCGTAAAGATGAGGGTAGTCGAGGGGTCGAAAGGTCTTGGTGGGCTATGAGCTAAGATATTTATGATTTACAGTGTGACAGATCTATTTGACTCTCAAAAACCGATCGAGGTCCTTGCGAAAGAATTTGGTGGGCTATCACTCATCATGGAGACATTTTCAGCCGGATTTATACAGCTCGGCACTGTCGTCACGGCGGAATTCTTTGCCCTAGTCCAGGTGAGGGGGACCAGGCCAGGTATGCCAGCAGGCCAGGTATGCTTACCATGCAGTAGTACTATAAGTTTCTCATTCTTTGTCCATTTGGTAGCTCAACAGTAGAAGGAGGCCTTGAATGTCCCGCGCAGCGTCTCAACGCACAGCTTGAAACAACTTGAGGGGTGCCGAACGGAGCATCGGAGCACCCGCGCCCTGAAAGCATCTAGCTTGTGTCCGTCGCAAAGCTCTATTTCGTGTATTCGACGTATTCACAACTTCAGGTTTTAGCAGGTCCGGAGAGGTGGGAGATGTGCTTGTCCGGAGAGGTGGGCGACAGCGAGGCTTGCGACAGAGGGGCGACAGACCTGGGCTCCGCTGGTCCGGTTTAACAGAGGAGTGTTGAATGGGAGGCTTGATACAAGGGGAGAAGTGAAGAGTTCTTGGTAATGAGGGCGTTAAGAAGAGAGAGGTGCTTCTTCGAAAGCACATGAGATAGATATGTTTGAGAATGAGAAGGTTCGAAAGCAAGGACCGAAGTTCGGTGCGTCTTAGGAAACAGAGGAGTGTTTGACCATGATATCTTTTTTGCGTCGAGGCGAGAAGAGAGCAGGAGGTCAACTCAAGAGAGAGTCATTTTTCCTGAGAGCAGATTGTTCAGAAGAAGGAGAGGTTTGGCTGCGAAGGGAGAGACCATGTGCCAGTCTGCCAGAGACAGAGGATTGTTTAAGGACCTTTTGGGGCAGGGAGGTACTTCTCTGGACGAATTGACAGTTCTTGGCCTGCTATGAATAGACATCTCCAAACCCTCGACCAAATTGCCAGCTATGCGTCGCGAAGGCCGTGTGCTTTTCCCCCGTGCGTTTCGATCATTTCCAGAGTTGTATCGCTGTGCTTCGAAACCTTTAAAGTTTAAATCAGTAAAATACACGTGCGTTAATCTATTTATGTGCATACATATATATATAGTTCTATATATTTACACACCTACAATAGATCGATGGATAGTTAGTTAGTTAGTGAGTTAGTTAGTTAGTTAGTTAGTCAGTGAGTTAGTTAGTTAGTTAGTTAGTCGACAGCATGGTGCGGGATCATGGGATCTATGCTTGTGGCCAGGACTACCCCGGCTTCAAGAAGCTGCTATACTTCCCGTGCCTCGGCGATCGGAGTGAGACAAATACCCGAACGCCGACCAGCCGGAGCCGAATCTCCCAAGTCTTCGTTCACCAGGTGAGCCGTTTCGCGACTTCAGCCTGGCCACCTCCATCCCCCCAGCCCTGGCCACATCCATCTCCCGGTGGGACATGTCCGGCACTCCCGTCGTTGGGCGACGCAGAAGAGCCGCTTCGGTCGCAGCTGGGAGGACTTGGCTCTGGTTGGATGCCAGCGACACGGCGTTGCGGTTGACCACGCTGAGTGGTGGGGGAGCTTAGCACATCGGTGGTCGGGATGAGCATGTGGGCTGTGTGAAGGCGATGGGCCTTAGGGCGATCTCACGAGATTTTAGATGGATGGCATGCACCTGGAACCCTCCCCCAAACAACCTCCATCCCCACGCAGTTTTGGTCGGCATCTGAGGCATCCTTGGTGGTGTGCTGGGCATCTATGGCGGCACGGTGGGGTGGTGGGGCCTGGTGCTGGCGCGCTTGGCCTTGCAGTCGGTGGCCGTCACAGGAACCGCAGGGAACCGATGCCTCTCTCGTTGGGTGCCCAGTCTATGCTGGGGCCGTGGACCGTGGAGCTTCTTACCCGAAGGGCACAGGTCTTTCTTGGTTTGTTTTTTGGGCGATGCGTGGATTTTTCTTGATATTCCACACACATTGCCAAGGTTGGACCCATGGTGAGATGAACTGAACAAAAATCCTATGGCCAATTTCGGTCAGTATGGCTTGATCAGACCATATCCCTTCAACTTGGGAAGTGGGTCCCAACCCTGACTCCTCAGTCACCTAATGGATCAGACACACGCGCAGATGTATACATGTATACTGTATATATATATATATATATGTCAATCAAATTTTTGTTGGCGCAAGGACGTGAATCTAAAGTGAGTCTCCTGACATCACGAGAACACCAGGAGAGTTCTGGTTCGTTTGGGACTACATGGTCTTTGAGGCGCCGCTGGCCGCTTGCGGTGAAGAAAATCGAGGCCCAAGGCCCATGTTCAAACCAAGCCAATTTCACCATTTCTCACCCAGATTCTATCAACTGACCGATGTGGCCTCGACACGGAATGGGAGGCCGGTGCCTTGGTCCTGCTGCTGCCTGAGACCTTACCCTTGAGCACGGGGAGTCTGGGCGCTTCAAACCTGCCCGTGCCCTGTGTGGCACTGGCGTGGCAGGCCCTTGCCATCCGCCTCATGCACCACGGCTGATGGTTGGGGACCGGAGGACGGACCGGTGCGCGACCTGACTTTGTTTTCGTGCAGGTTTGGCACAATGGGTTTCAAGTGCAGGTCGTGAGGGTGCATCAACTCAACTGCCAAGTGAGTCACAGTGTGTATGTCAGCTTGACTCGCTTGCTCTCTTTGAAACAAACATGGTTCAGTGGGTGAGCGCATTGCCTCGATGGGCCAGCCCCTGATGTTCGCACGCTGCATGTACCTCTTCCCGCCAAAATCGCTGGACCAAGTCTGAAATCGATCGGGCGCCCCATGCGAAGTTTCTTGCTCCTTTCCCCCTTGAAAGTTCAGGCTCAACTGACGGGTGCTTAGCAAGGAAGGGAGTGGATCCTAAGGAGATCTCCATTGAATGGGAGGTCGGTCATTCCCTCATTCGCTAGGATTGTTGACAGCTGAGGCACGTCATCTAAAAACCTTAACATTCATTCCCTCCACCGCGGGCGACACGTCCGGCGGAAGTCGCCGTCGCCGAGAGATGGGGAGGAAGCCGGTTCCTGTGAGGGCAAACGCTGACCACCGGCGACCAGTAGGCTTACGGAAGGCGGCCTTCTTTTCAATGGATTGGTTTTGCAGGGGACATCTGCGGGAAACCATGGTTTTACACTCCCAAAACGATGGGTTTCCCAAATAGATAGAAATGAAATGATTATAGTTGTGTAGAGCTTGGGCAGGCTGGGGGGCCACTATAGATTTGCCCTACCAACCCAGTAGTCGTTGCCGGGATCTTTGTTCTTCGTCGAACGGTGGCTGCGAAGGTTGGGCTTCGCCAAGACCAAGTTCAGTGAATCTGATGTGGCCAAGGAGTGCGAGTTCCAACTCGCCGTGGTGAATTGTTCCAGCGAGTTCGGTGACGCGGTTCCTATCGTTTTCGGTGAAATGCCTCGTTCGGTGACGGGTGGCTGCGGTCCAAAGCAGGCCACACCGGGTACCAATAGGACCTGCACGGTTCCGGTGACAGACGTGTGAACAACTGCATCCCTATGGCCCTATGGTCATGTTCTGATTTCGTCACATGGGCGTGGGGTTCAAAAAGACTTCATGACGACATATGACGACTCCCTATCCCCAAGGTTCAAGGACAGGTGAAGTTTGTCTTAGCAGGACAACCTCTTCCTTCAAGGCTTCTTCATTTGGCAACTCCTTCCAAACCACTTGGCCTGGCAGCCCGTCTGACATGTGTGCCTGCAGGGGGGAAGACAAGGAGGTGGCAAGTGAGCACTAAAGCGACCCTGGTAGAACATCATTTTGACCAACCAAATTTAGATCTATGTTCCAATACCTCTGAATAAAAACAAGAGGATCAACATGTGTTCCAATGCCCCCTACCCAATTTTGTAGGCGGCTTCTTGGCACCTAGAGATGGACGGACGTTGCACCAAGAAGCCAACGTCCGTCTCATGTTTCCAACGGGGCGATGCAGGGTATGAAGCCAACTCTCTCCGAAGCTGACAGCTCCCTGTCTCCTCCCGGCCTGTCATTCTCTTAGCATCAAAACGTCGTATCTCTTGATGCACATGGGTTTGGGAGCCAGAAGGCCTCCCTTCTTCGCTGTTTGGGTCTTTGCATCTTGGCATCACTGGTTGTGTCCAGCGGTGCCGAAAGCCTCCGGGTTCAAAAACAGCAGGAAGATGGCCGCTGGACCTGGGATTTTCCCTCTTCCTATGGGTTGACCTTGGTTTGGACAGAATAAGACTACGTGCGGCACATGCTTTTGGTCCAGGTTGCGGCCCAGGACCCCTAAGGCCAGCCGACCCGGACTCGAAACGGGCAAAACCCGTCTCGCCAGCGATTGAGGTTTCTGCATCACGCGCCCCTCTGGTTGCTGCGCGCGTCTTATGGCTTCATGCTCTATGTGGAGGCGATCTTGCCCTTTTGCTGCTTCCTCTCGGGCGCTCCGCGCTTTGTGGGCGCGTGGGGTCTCATCATCCTCATGCTGGGGATCTTCATGACGGGGAACTGGGGGCAGTTTAATCTCGGTCTCTTGGCTGCAGACCGGGGATCGGGCAAGGGGCAGGGCCTTTGTGCACCATGGGTGTGATAGGGTTTTGGGAAATATGGATTCCGGACCTATGTATGTTTGATATGGTATGCAATTGTATGTACCTAGACCTAGACCTTGATGCGAGATTCTACACCAACTCGGATGGACGGAAAGGGAGGTTGTGCCCTTGGCAACCATGTTTTTTGGGCAGGATGCAGCTCCAAGCGATTTGGTATTTATCGAATCTCTGATGTCGCAGCACCTGGACCAGGCGATAAAGCCTTTCCCCCCCACCATATTCTCTGGATTTCGCATCCACCTGTGACAACACTCCGCACGATTTCCGCACCTTTTCCGCACGATTTCGGTGAGAGACGCTCGTTGTCAGGCTACATCATCGTTTGCGTGGGGCTCTTGGATTTGAACATCTCTTGGTCCATGTTCTTCGCGCAGAGTTGGCTCTTGCCACCCCTGATGGCAGTGCTTCGGTGAAGACTGGTAGGGGTTTGGGCCAACAAGGCGCCAATGAAGCACGGGAGAAGTTCACGTATGGAGTATGAACCAATCCAAAAGGATGACCAGTTTCTGATTCTTGTCTCGGGGGCGCCGCCTGCCATCTAACAGGCCTCCCTGACCCTGCGGGGCCTCCTCAACTAACAAAGCCATTTTCCCTTGGTTCTATCTACTCCCGGAATATGTATCTCAGACTCAGCTGGAAGACACAAGCTGCCCGGAATCAGTCAACTTGGAGAGGACGTTATTCCTCATCCCACATGTCGTTCACGTACTTTCAGGTGGCGGGTTGCCGTCAACCACTTGGCAACAGGCATGTGTGGGACACAACATGCAACTACCTACCCTTGAGACACTTCCCTTAGCCTTGGTAACAGCCAACAACCGCGGGGCAGAAATGGGCAGAAAGGGTAGTCAAGACTGCACCTGGATCCGTGCTATGTGAGGGACATTGATGGTTAACTTCGTCGCACATCAGACATCTTCATCTTCAGACATGTTCAGGCCACCCCACATAAATTGCACGGGTCACGCACATGTTTGATCACAGATTTTCAGATATGTGTCAAACATGAGGTCTACCTCTTCATCGGCTTCATCTGCTTGTGCCTCTTCGACACTTGGACGAACACCGCCTGGGCCTGGTTCTCCTGGGAACTCCTTCCCATCTTCCAGCTGCACGGCTTGTCGCTGGGCGGCAGATCTCTAAGGGTTTCCGGAGGAGGAGGAGAAGGCGGAGGAGGAGGAGGAGGTCGGCAGACTGCTTCCGAAGATAACTGGGAGATATATGCTGGAAGTCTGGAGGCTGGTCACTCACCGAATGTCATTTGTATATGTATGATTATGTATGTCTATATATGTATATATGTATGTATGCATGTATGTATTAATGTAATGTAATGTAATGTAATGTAAGTATGTAAGTATGTACGTACGTACGTACGTACGTACGTACGTAGGTACGTAGGTACGTAGGTACGTAGGTACGTAGGTAGGTAGGTAGGTATGTATGTATGTATGTATGCATGCATGCATGCATGTATGTATGTATGTATGTATGTATGTGTGGATGATAGCAAAACCACAGAGGGACTCTTTAGTCCTTCTTCATTCGACCTTCTCACAGCATGGTTTGTCCCTCACTCAGACTCGCATTGGAAGGACACCTTCAAGAAGGGGCCCCTCATATTCAAAGGAGGGCCAGACTTGCCCATGTGGTGTACGACAGTTCTTTTGTGTTCCAACAACTTTTCCCAGTAAGCTGGCTGCCGGCGATGTTTGCGGAGCTTTGGGGTCGATGGAGACCCCAAACACTGTGGGAGAGACTGGAAGCAGGGCGCGCGCTGGCGTCCTGGAGAACCAGCACACGCTTTTCTTTTCGAGTTGTGTGTTGCTTTCATCGCCATAACAGTTGGTGACATTTTCCGAATCGAGTCGATGGACAAAGCATCCACGAGGGCCCCGTAAATCATGGACCATGACAGGTATGGGTCGAGAGTTGGTGGACTGTGGCGGACTTAGGTGGTGGGACTTGTACTGGTTGGGGTGTTAGTTGGGCTCACTTCAGTGTTGAGGTCATCTCTCCCTTTGAAGGTAGTGACATGTAATGTTATAATGTTCCTGCCTCCCAGTTGGCCCGGCTCAATCAGGGTCCGTCTCGGGGCTTTGGGCTTTGTGCTTTGGGTGTTCTTGAAGATCTTCCCGTTCTCAGATGCCCCCCATTTGGCGGCCCGACCCAGCTTGACCTTGGAGATCGTCAGGGAGCACCAGGTGGTATGAGATTATAGGACCAAGCGGTTTCAGTGGCTTTTTGAGGCGAAGCTCCACATCCATGCTCCATAGATATTGTTTGCCACGGAGACGAGGAAGTTCAGTGCACTGTTTTCGGGCGATGCCTGGCTTCGATGTTCCGGGTTCCCCGCCCGCTGTAGGTTGGGGCTGGTCCGCTTTGTGTCTCCCTGGCGGCTGATCAATGCTTATGGCGTCTTCCCACCCGAGGCACTCCCACAGGCCCCCGCTCTCGAGCCGAGCCTCGCCTCGCCGGGGGGGGGGGGGGGGTGCGGGGTGCGGGATCGGCGGGTCGGCCCTGTCGGCCCTGTTCGGCGCTGGACTCAGCGACACGCACAACGAGCCCTTACGAGCCCTTACGAAGCTAGAAGAGTCACAGCAGCAGGCAGCCAGCCTATAGAAATGGGTAGGCGCCTACACGACCCACCTGGCCAAGGGCTCTCTTGTCGATGTTTCGATGTTTTAAACCAGATGACCAGCGTCAAATCCTCCGGTCTGGGGGAAACGGTCGGTGATGGGCCGGGGCATTTCTTTTTGCACCTTCTGTTGGGCCCTGAGTCAGGGTTTCAATCTTGAAATCTTGGGGTGACACCAGTTTCATTCTTGTTCCAACCATCCCACGCAGGCCTTCCCTTTATAACATGGATAAGCTCAGCCCAGGCAGAGATTCCACCGGCGTTTTCCATGTGGTTCCCATGCAGGTCCGAAGTACCGTGGTCTTCGAGGGCAGCTACGACGGCCCGGGGGCCCCAACTGCGGAAACCGCGCGGTCAACCGGTCGTTGGGAGGAGCGTGTGGCACACCGGCCGACGGGGCCCAAGCGATGCGCTTTGAGAACCCCGACGGCCTGGACGCTGTGAGACTTTGCCTTTGCCATGTCCTCGATCAGGTCAATGCCAATGCTATTTTTTCTTGGGGCAGTGCGATCACCATATGTAGACTATTGCATGCAAAATTCCCCACCACCTTCGGGGTCTGGCATTTCTTCTTCTCATCGTGTTGGTGTCTCGCTTTTTGGTCCGACTGATGTTCGATTGTCGGCTGATGGCGTTTGCCATTTCGCACGGGGGAACTCGCTGGTGTCTCGCTGTCCGTTTGGGCTCCAGATCGAAGCACCCCACGTAGTTTGGTTCAAAGAAGATGCCTTGCGACTGCCGCGAGATTTGCCATGTCTAACTCAAACCTGGCCTGCCCGGAGGCTGGGCTGTCGCTGTGGCGGTCCTGGCGGGTGGTGGGTGTTCTTCGTTCGGGTCTTTTGAAGTGGGGGTAGGGAACGAACGGGTGAGGCCCCCCCATTGGATCCAGTCGGTTGGACCGGCAACAAACGCCATGGCAAGTGGCGACAAAGAGACCGGCGACTGGTTGAACCACCACGGTTAAATGGACCACGGAAACGACCAGCTTCCTCGACACCACGGGGCCCCTTTCGACTTCCCTTGTCCTATGCAGCAAACAAGCATCGCAGCATCCCCCTTAAGCAGGCTGCTCACGCGAATCGAGACCCCAGCAGCACCGACATTTTCTAGGTCTTGCGGTCTTTAGTCACACATGTGGGAATGAACATTCTGAAACATCCATGCAGAGATCCCAAAAGAAGGTGGTCAGTAGACACCTCGAAATGGGTGGGCGGCCCTGGAAGAGACTATAGTATGTATCCCACTGGGCCGGGGGGCGAATGTGAGCTCGCCATGTGTGGCTCCAACACACACACACACAGTCGCTTCCGCCGCCTTCTGCGGTTCCTTCGCGGGCTCCGCCAGGAGAAAGGTGTGGAGTCTCCCAGGAATTCCTTGTCCACGCAGCCGGGCCGCCTCTTCGGCGACGCGGCCGCCGGCGAGGCCGCGGCGGCCGCGTCCCGCAGCCGCCCAGTGCGAATGGGCGGGGGGGGGGGGGCCCGGGGGGCCGGGGGGGGGGGGCCCGGGAAGAGGGGGGACAACGAACCGCCGTTTTTGGGGGGGGGGTTGGGAGGGTCCAATGGAATCTGTTTCTTCGATCTAGATCGACCTACGAGTGTTGACTATGGTTTTCTAAATGGAGCAGAACTTGAAGACTTCAAAGGCTTGGTCCCGACCTGCGAGCCTCGGACCCTCTGGATTTCACAGACTCTCCCGGTTCTCTCGGGTTCTCTCGGTGCCCAGTCCTCCCGAGCACGGGGGGGTCTTGGGATGCGGGGGGCATGCGGTTCGACTCCGAGCGCTCGGTTCGTTGGTCTAGGCCCTAGAGCAATGGAAGTGGCAAGGAGGGAGACATTGAAATCGCCAAGTCCGGTGCTCTTCAGTCCATTGGTGGTCGAAAGACCTCGCCCTCGACTTCGCCGGGATGCATCCCACACTTCTGGATTCGCACTGAGGAGGATGGGAACTGGAGTTGGGTGAGATGATTGAAGCGAAGCATCAGGCGGTGATGGAGAAGATTGACCAGCAGTGCAACTTATCATCCAGGACCAGTGGACGAATGAATGCATTTCCCGAAGGTTCAACCGTCATCGGAAGAATCATTGACATATTGCTATAGGGTCTGTCCCATTTACCCGTAACAGTCGGCAAACAATTATTATATCACTATTTAGAGAGAGGCCTTTACTAACCATCATCGTCCACTCTTCCTGGTAATTGGATAGGCCCAACCTATTGCTGTCATAGAGGTTTGGATACAATTGGATACTGTAGCAGGCTGGACCGTCGGGGGAACCGGCGCCAAGAAAGGATCGGCCAAAACTCTGCTGAAACGCCATGTTCGGATGTCCCTGGCAACTACTCATCTCATTGGACCTAACAAGTCCTAAGTCATTTGTCCCCAGTTTCTCGTGTCATTTGGGGAATTCCCCTCTGACTCCCCACGGCCGCTTTCACAGCTCGGAGTCGGCCTGGGGGCGGAATTGGCCCCGTGAAGCACCGGCCTGGGCCCAGGTCTGACAGCCAGTTCTGACGGCTTGTGACCCCACAAGCTCCACTCATCATGGAAGTGGATGGCCCCCCCTCTTCCGCAAGAGGGATGCACAGACACAGACAAGCACTCTTCCGATCCGGGGGCCGCGATCCGCTTCGTGTTCGATCCCTCCCATCCGTGAGATCTGGGGCGAGTTTCGAGCTCGCTCGGTTGGTTTAGCTGCTCAGTTGGTCTAGCTGCACGTTGAAAGAAAGAAGGATAGATGGATGGACAGATAGATAGATAGATAGATAGATAGATAGAAGGAGACCAAAGGTAGCTTCAGCACGCTTCAGCTACCTGAGTTCATGGGGAAGCTTTAGTTGTGGGGCCTTGGGAAAGCTGGTTCTCGCACGAGACTAGGTCTCCGAGTGGAGATTCTTCATGATAAGGCCTCGCCTGGATCAAGTTACCCCTGGTCTAGGTCCATTGCTATTCGTATAACTATAATATACATTTGTGCATTCAGATCAGACCTTCGCTGTCGAATAGAATACTGTATAGTATATATATATAACTATATATATATATACACATAAAATATATACATATATAGGTATACACATCATAATCTGAGCATGTTGGAGGTTCCTTTGGATCGAAACTTGTGAGGTCTAAAATCGTTGCGCCAAAGCACGGGGTCAAGCCCATGAAGAGGCGGCGACATCAACAGAATTATGTAGTTTTGAGATGAATCGGATCCAGTCGGTTTCAGAGGAGATGGCACACACCCCAAGATGTCTTTTAGAAGAGGGTTGGGGGCTCAGATGTGCCATTTACTCTCACTAAAATCTATGAGGGTCATTGAGCAAACATGTGCACTTACACCCGGGAAGAGGCCCACATGGAACGTGATGGCATGGACCAGACTGGAAGTCCATTTTCCCCTACAGGCCAGTGGTTTTCAGGTTCCATGTTAATCTTCTAGGGTGTACTAGCACCATAAACACCATTGGTCCCGCCTTCGCGAGCGGCGTTCGAAGCTGCGACGGATAGCCAGGGTGGCTTCTCTTTCTGGAAGAGAAGCCACCCTGATGGTTTGGTGACGCTTCGGCGACGTTTTAGTTTTTGAAGAGTTCTGCCAACTCTTCCAACTCAGGTAAGCTGCTGGAACTCTTCCTGAGCAGCCGAAGGCCCTCGCAGGGGCCCGGGGCTTTCAAGGACCCGGTTCGATCGCACCTTGCGGACCGACCGTGGACCTCTGGGGGAAGGAATCCTTCGAAGCACGGCCTCGTGGTTTCCAGGGACGAGATGGCTTGGGACCCTGGACATGGTCAACCAACAGCCGGATAGCCGGTCTGGTCAAGGAGATTTTGGTCTGGACAGACCACATTTGGTCTCCCTGGAGTTTGGTCATCGGCCGACCTCGGGGACGAGAGTTTGCGACCCCTTTTCAGGGTGGATCCGCGGACCGAATTCACGGCTCACGGGGTCACGTGACTGGTCTCTCGCGTTTTCGAGAGGGGTCCCAGAGGCCTTTCTCTGCTCGGTGCTGGTGGTGGTGGCCACAGCGAGAGACCCGGTGAAACCGAGGTCTTGGAGGTGAGACCCGGCTCCGTTGCGAACGACGCGTCGATTCCGTGACGGGAGTGGTTCGGTGATCGGTGCGACGGGACGACGTGACACGGGTCTGACCCTCTTGAGACGGTCTTAAACCGTCCATGGCGAATGGACCTCCTGAGTGCCAACTTGTGCAGCTTCCAGAAAGGGTCTTCAACTATACCAAAGAACGCCAGGAGTATTGGAGAAACCACATGGCCGACAGCTGGTCCACTTTCTTCCGCAACTGCTTTTGCATCTCCCGCAACTGGAGCGTCACCCTTCGGCCGTGGGGCGTCGTCCCCCTTGCTCTCTCCGTCAGGAGCTGATGGACAGCCGGACGCCCGCGACTAGCTCTAAGGACGCGAAGGGACGTCAAAGCGTTTCATGGTGAATGATGGCGGTCTTCGTCCTTCTGGTTTTTGGAGGTTGGAGCTATCAATGAACATGCAAAGGGTAATGAAGTTGATTTCACGATGGTACCGTGGGCCCAGTAGGGCAAGAAAAGCCACACGCGTTCTGTGTAAGTCAGTCATATGGATGTGGTGATCTCAGTAAATGGCTCGGTGATCGCCACATCATGGGTGAGTGCCGGGAACTGCTCATGGTGCGGGTCTCATTCCTTCTTTCGCCAATTGGCTGGTCTGAATGCTGGCCTCAATCCAGGCCATACAGTCCATTGTTACCGCACCGTGTTTCACACCCTCAGGACTCAGGCGACTCAGGACCCCAGAAAGTCACGTGTTCTCTTCACCGAACTGGTGCCACTCTGAGGTTCTGAGGCGTTGCCAAGCTGCTATATTGAGATACAGCAACGAGAGAGATGTTCCTCTTCGTTGTGGTGCCACCACCACCACCTCCTCTTCAGCTGCGTCCCCACGCAAAAGACATGCCACCTGAATCCCAACTACTGTAGTTGCTCCTGTTGGCTTTGAAGGGCCCGGCCCTTGGGACTGGTTGTTCCGCCAAAGCCATCAAAGCACTTGCTTGCTGAACGACGCACTCGCGCGCGGGAGGAGCTGACTGGAAGCCGAAGGCCTTCACAGTTCAGCAAGAATGGCATCGACTCCAAGGAGACGCCGACACGCGGTCTCCCCTGACAGAGAGCGGGATATGGCGACGTGAGACTCATGGGATTTGAGTCTCTCGCGGCGCCTGAAACAGAGGGTTGTGAACATGCGCCCTCTCACCAGGCAGGGTGACTGGCAATATGCTTGGGCTGTGTCACTTTTCCAAACAAACATGCTGGGCAGGCTCCCAGACTTTGCAAGGCTTGTTTTTCTGTTTGATGTGTTTTGTTTTTTCTCAGCCGGTGGCTAGGGTGACTGCCAAGTAGGTACACCAACGAGGTACTGCCCCTCTCATGCAGATAAGGACAACTTTGGAAAACCAAGTGGGCGGATGTCGAGGGCAATCCGTTAGCTTTCAAAGAAGCTCATCCATGTCTCAGCCTTTCCGGAACTGATCCTCTTGCTTTTTAATTCATGGGTTTCTGGGTTTCTGGGCTTCTGCTTATAGCGATAAGCTGCGAACCTTTGGTTTGAATGGGGTCGATTTGCACGCCTGATGTTGGCGCTTGGTTCGCTTTCGCTTTCGGCTGTCCATCCGTTTCGCTGTCCGGGGCTGGCCACATCCGCGGCGAGGAGCTACAGCCAAAGGAAAACAGCCGAAGACCTTCCCAGTTCAGCAAGGGGACCAACTCCAAGGACTGGGACTAAAACTCCAAGGACTGGGACGAAAACTC